TGGGGACACTGGGCTTCAAGGCAATATGAACAGAGGCCACCAACCTCATTCCCAGGGAGAAAGTATCCAGGCTACCGACCAGCCTAAGAACCTCAAGCTCTGTTGCTCAGAGGGCCCAGGCCCAGCCTTCACAGAGCAGAGACTGCAAACATCATTCCTGAATAAGTTGGGGAGGGGCGGGGGAACAACCCAGGGAATTCCTGAGGAATGCTGAGTGGGACCACCATGAAATACCAACACAGAGAGCCCAGCATACCCCAGCCTTCTGCCCATGCTGCAGCTCACCCCAAGTGAGGAGATTAGAGCCCATACAGGCGCATATGGGTTCACAAGCAGCCGAGTGGACAGTCACTGAACACATGCCAGGTGTCCTTCTTCCCCGGACCACGCTATACAGCGTTCTCCTCTTGCTTGCTCGCTCACACACACAGACACACAGACCCTCCAGAAGGACAGAGCGCTGCTGCCTCCTGGCCTTGTGGCCTTTGTGCTGGTACAAATGAATTCCCTTCCTGGACCTGAGTTTCTCAATTGCAAAACGAGTGAAGGATGCCTCTTGAGAACCCAGTCTCCAGTGTTCCTGACACGGTGTGGAAAGCTCCAGCCATGCAGCCTGCAGCAGCAGCTCCCCAGTGTCTGTCCCTCCCCCTTTCTGAACAGGCTTTGTGGGCCTGGCTCAGGGCTGCACTCAGGTGCCACCAGATACCATGTGTCTATGGGACAACATGGCTCCAGCCCACACATGAGCAATCCCACACCCTTTCCTTGCCCACCAGAGGCTCAGTGGGAAGATGCTCCAGTCAGGGAGCTGAGCAGCCCAGCCCTGATGAAATGTCAGCCCAGGTCTCATTGCCCTCCTCTCTGTCCCCGGGCAAGGGTGTTTGACTGTCCAGTGTTTTGGGTGTCCCTTCCCTGAGAGACTCTAACACCCAGTGTCTGACTGTTCAGTGAGGAATGCCTGTCTGAATGCCAGGAAGAGCAGGTATTGCCCAGGGCACCAACAGGCTGGAGCAGAGAACTGCAAATGACCAGTGTTAGGTGGCAGTGTTTGAGCCATGCCACGTCTGCCCTGGGACACGAGGGAAGGCGTGGGTCCTTCCCTCGTTACACCGTGGCTGGCAAGCCATCGGTCCCTACTGCAGATGGAGTTCGGAGCCCCATCCTAAACTACACTGATGGCACAACTGCATCCCCAGCCTTGCTTTGGGGAGGGCTCTGGCCACCGCAGGGCCTGGGCATCATGCCCTGGCCCTGCCATCCTCTGCCTGCCACCTGCCTGTCTTTGATGTTTATTTTCTTTGTATTTATTGTTCCAATTTTGAATTCTTGCCCTCATGAGAAGCCCTTCAGGGGGCAAGGATCTGAATTAAAGCACTGATTAAAAAGCATAAAGCACCCTGGAAAGTACAGGAGCAGCCTTAGACTGCCAGAGCCTGGCGGTGAAGTTGCACATTGCCCACTCAGCAGCCTGGCTGACCTCTCAGATGTAACACCCCCCGACATGTTATCCTGACAAGGACCCTGTGAGGGTGTGAGCCTAGGAGCCTATACCCAGCATGCTCTGCGGTCTGCCGCATCCCAGCCTCTTGAGACCTTAGTTTTTCTACCTTTCAGGACAGCCACCTGTAAAAGACAGAGGGTGGTGGGCTGGGGCGATAGCTCAGGCTCTAACATGCCATGCAAACAGGAGGGCCTGGATTCAGATCGCCAACACCCACAGAACATGCCAAGTGCATTGGTGCTTGCCTGTAATCCCATCGCCAGGAGGTAGAGATGGGATCCCGAGAGCCCGTCGATCAGCCGGTCTAGCTGAACTGCAGGCTTTAGGTGAGCTGCAGACTCAGGAGATGTTGGCTGAGGTGTGAGGTGGGACGGGATGGGGACAACACCTGCTGATGATCTCTGGCCTCCACGTGCACACACATAAACGTCCACCCACACACATACGTGCCCATACACAGAAGAGGTACTACAGAGGACGTGTGTACGGGGTGTGCCCTAACATCACGGGGCATGGCCCATTGCTCTGTGGCTGACTGCCTGGTTTGGGGTGGTTGCTGTACGGGGCAAGGCTGCCCAGCCTTTCCATCAACATGTCTGAAAGCCCCGGGTTTCATTGTTCAGTGGGCCTGCACCACGGTCAACCACTGTAGCAGCTCACTCTTGATCACATGCTGCCCCCCCAGAACATTCACCAGAGTGTGTTCTTGCACCCTTCACTATAGCAGGTGAGCTAGATGGAGCTGAGACAGTGGCCGTGTGACCTGGGGTACAACATACACCACACGGTGGCTGGAGACATGCTTGCCCTCTCTGTCCGGGTGCCCAGGACGCTCTCCTCCTCATTTGTCACGGCATTGCCCCCAGCTGCGCCCCCCCCACCTCTTCCTTGTCGCCCTCTTTCACCTTGTCTTTTCTCTCAGTCAGTCCAACTGTCTTTTGGGATGAGGTGTGTCACACAGCGAACACATGCCACTGCCAGGAAGAGTCAAGTGTGTCTGTGTTATAGGCAAGAGATGACGTCTGAGTGATGCGGGGGTGGCTTTGTGGGGGAGGGGGTGTAAGGGTCTGAGACTTTCAGGAGGAAGACCCCAGACTCAAACAGTATGCAAGAGCAAAGAGCACTTATTCTGCAGAAACAGCCAGCGTGCAGAGGTCATCCACTCATACAGAAATGGCGGCACAGAGGAGGTCTCAGGCTTCTCCTAAAGCCAGTTACAGGATTCCCGCTGTGGTCGTCCAACCTTTGTTAGGACTGGCTCATGGTGAGGGGCACTCACATGTTTCTGATTGGTTCTGACCTTGGGGACTTTCCAGAGTCTTTGTTTCACATCTGAATCTGCCTCAGGCCAGACAGCAGGGTGGGTGCTGATAGGCCGCTCTTTCTTTATGGTTTTTCCAAGAAGTTTAGTTTCCTCTTCTGGAAAATCCAAACTCAGGCCTAACATGGAGGCTCAGACCTAAGATGGAGTCAGTCCAGACCTCTCAGAGTCTTTGGGGTAAAAGGCTGAAAAGAAAGCTGGGGCAGTTCTCTTAAAGGAGATGGCTTAGAGGCAGGGTGTGCAGGACAAAGTGGGGACGCTTGTGTGGCTTTGCAGGGGGGGGGTGGATTGGCCGGAGCTTCGGATGCTGTGCACATCCGAAGGGTTTGCCAACATCTTGGGGTCCTTACTCTTCCCTTCTCCCATCTTCAGCCTCTTTTCTGGCTGCTCCCAGGCTAGCCCAGGCCTGAGATGGGTGCTAAAAGTCCTTTACCTCCTGAGGTTCCCCCAGCCTCACACCCCGCCAGCCTCAGCTGCTGGCCCAATTACTTATTGATCGCCTGTCAGGATGTTTGCTTTTCTGGTGGGTCACTGGAGCGTGTGTGACTGTGGAAAATGGCCCTGTGGGGGAAGGGTAGGGGGAGGCTCAGACACAGAAGAATCAGGAGAGAGAATGAGGGGGATGAAGGGGGTGGGTGACAAAACCCTTGGGGATAACAAAATGGTGCAGATTCCATAACATGTCAGTGACTCCATGAGTTCTCTCTGGTTAGTCAGTCACTTAGTCGATCAACAATCAGGAAATACCTGTCAGTTCTTGAAGGCCAGTAGAGCATTTGCAAGTGTGTGGAGCCAGAGCTTCTGATCTACACTGGTCCCTGCTACTGGTTGAGTGGCTGTCACCGTCTCTTGGAGCCTCAGTTGCCTTACCAGCTGACATGGAGGACAAACAATGACAACTATAATAAATTGTGGCTTGAGGGCAGAAGCTGTGTCAAGGGGTGGGAAGAGCCCAAACTGAACACAGATGGGACTCCCAAGCCTGGCCTCCCCTGTCCTGCAGTAGCTATTCCGCACCATGGATACAGAGCTACACGAGGGCTACGGCCCACTGTACAGCCCACCAGGCACGGCCCACTGTATAGCCCACCAGGGCCAGAGGCAAGGGTGATGCCCACTGTCTGGAGAAGGCTGCGGCGGACCGTTGCCCTCTTGGCTCCTCCCCAGCCATCTCCAGGCCAGTTCCCACAGAGGGATCAGAAGGCAAGGCAAGCAGCACCAGGAACTGGGAGAGCAGTGCGGAGCTGGCTCCTGCTCACCCCTGCTGGCTCCACCTGCAGCTCCTCCCTCCCCACACTCTCCCATCCCGTCTCTCTGTCACCTCCCACCAAGCTCAACATGTCCTAGGACCCAGCTTTAACCAGCCTGGTACGTTCAGTGCTCCAGTGTGGGTGGGCATCTGTAAGACTGTTGGTCCTGGTCTCAGAGGTCACACCTGTAACTGCAGAGGAGCCTGGTGGTGGGAAGAGGTGGTGGAAACCCAGAGAAACAGATGGGTGGGACTTGTGAAGGGGGCAGCCCTCATCTTGGGGATCAGAAAAATCTCACACTTGGTTGAGTCTTCAAGCCAGGATTTCTGCAGTCTGGAAAAGTGACGTTCTAGGAAGAATGGCAGGGGAAGGCCAGGAAGCAGGAAACACTCGTGCCCTGGGTTGAGTAGCGGATCCCATCTGCAGCTCACAGGACCCAGGACCCCAGCAGGGGTCTTCAGGTGCAGAGGCTTCCTGGCTTCTGGATGGAGCTCATCCTGAAGCATAGCTGGTGTGCTCTGCAGGTAGCCAGGGTCTGCAGGTCACCCAGGACTCGGTTGGCAGGGTTGGGTGGAATGTATCATGGTGTCTGCCAGGGTGGAATGCCCAGCAACCTCAGGAGCCCTTGCACTGCGGGCTAGGTCCAGTTGTGCTCTCCCTTCCTCCTCAGGGCTATTCCCAGAAACCTGGCCTTGAGCCCTCGACCCTCTGTGAAACTGGGTGTCTCACCAAGGCTGGCTTTATCCCTGCTGAGGACTGGTTGGGTTGAGACTCAGGACATGGCCAGAGTGAATGGCCTGTGGATCGCTGAGAAGATGGCACTGCCCCTCCTCTGCAACCTCTCCCCCCGGGCTGGGGGCAGGGTGGGGTCCGGCCAAGCACGGCCTGCTCACTGCCACCTCTGTCCTCTGCTTGCTTCCGGCTGCAGGTGAGCGAGAGGATGCTGGCAGGGGGTGTGAGAAGCATGCCCAGCCCCCTCCTGGCCTGCTGGCAGCCCATCCTCCTGCTGGTCCTGGGCTCTGTTCTGTCAGGCTCTGCCACAGGCTGCCCGCCCCGCTGCGAGTGCTCAGCGCAGGACCGAGCCGTGCTCTGCCACCGCAAGCGCTTCGTGGCTGTGCCCGAGGGCATCCCCACCGAGACTCGCCTGCTAGACCTGGGCAAAAACCGCATCAAGACGCTCAACCAGGACGAGTTCGCCAGCTTCCCCCACCTGGAGGAGCTGGAGCTCAACGAGAACATCGTGAGCGCCGTGGAGCCCGGCGCCTTCAACAACCTCTTCAACCTGAGGACGCTGGGGCTGCGCAGCAACCGCCTGAAGCTCATCCCGCTGGGCGTCTTCACCGGCCTCAGCAACCTGACCAAGCTGGACATCAGTGAGAACAAGATTGTCATCCTGCTAGACTACATGTTCCAAGACCTATACAACCTCAAGTCGCTGGAGGTCGGCGACAACGACCTCGTGTACATCTCCCACCGAGCCTTCAGCGGCCTCAACAGCCTGGAGCAGCTGACGCTGGAGAAATGCAATCTGACCTCCATCCCCACGGAGGCGCTGTCCCACCTGCACGGCCTCATCGTCCTGCGGCTGCGACACCTCAACATCAACGCCATCAGGGACTACTCCTTCAAGAGGCTGTACCGACTCAAGGTCTTGGAGATCTCCCACTGGCCCTACCTGGACACCATGACGCCCAACTGCCTCTACGGCCTCAACCTGACATCCCTCTCCATCACGCACTGCAACCTGACAGCCGTGCCCTACCTGGCCGTTCGCCACCTGGTCTATCTCCGCTTCCTCAACCTCTCCTACAACCCCATCGGTACCATCGAGGGCTCCATGCTGCATGAGCTGCTGCGGTTGCAGGAGATCCAGCTGGTGGGTGGGCAGCTGGCCGTGGTGGAGCCCTACGCCTTTCGTGGGCTCAACTACCTGCGTGTGCTCAACGTGTCCGGCAACCAGCTGACCACCCTGGAGGAGTCGGCCTTCCACTCCGTGGGCAACCTGGAGACGCTCATCCTGGACTCCAACCCTCTGGCCTGCGACTGCCGGCTGCTGTGGGTGTTCCGGCGCCGCTGGCGGCTCAACTTCAACAGGCAGCAACCCACCTGCGCTACCCCCGAGTTCGTCCAGGGCAAGGAGTTCAAGGACTTCCCGGACGTGCTCCTACCCAATTACTTCACCTGCCGCCGGGCCCACATCCGGGACCGCAAGGCCCAGCAGGTGTTTGTAGATGAGGGCCACACCGTGCAGTTTGTGTGCCGGGCGGACGGCGACCCTCCACCAGCCATCCTCTGGCTCTCACCCCGCAAGCACTTGGTCTCAGCCAAGAGCAACGGGCGTCTCACAGTCTTCCCTGATGGCACGCTGGAGGTGCGCTACGCCCAGGTACAGGACAACGGCACGTACCTGTGCATCGCGGCCAACGCCGGCGGCAACGACTCCATGCCCGCCCACCTGCACGTGCGCAGCTACTCGCCTGACTGGCCCCATCAGCCCAACAAGACCTTCGCCTTCATCTCCAACCAGCCTGGCGAGGGAGAGGCCAACAGCACCCGCGCCACCGTGCCTTTCCCCTTCGACATCAAGACGCTCATCATCGCCACCACCATGGGCTTCATCTCCTTCCTGGGCGTTGTCCTGTTCTGCCTGGTGCTGCTGTTTCTCTGGAGCCGGGGCAAAGGCAACACAAAGCACAACATCGAAATTGAGTACGTGCCCCGGAAATCGGACGCAGGCATCAGCTCAGCTGATGCACCCCGAAAGTTCAACATGAAGATGATATGAGGACGGGGCGGGTGGGGGCGCAGGGACCCCCGGGGGAAGCACCGGGCAGGGAAGGAGCTGGCTGCTGCCCACTCACTCCCAGACCTTCCCACTTCCTCCCTGCCTTCCTCACACACTCTCCACCTCCTGACATGTGCCCCTGCTGCCTCGCCAGCCCTCACCGCCTGCCCTCCTTCTACCAGGACCTCCGGAAGGCCAGGCCTGAGGACCCCACCTGCACAGGGGCCAGAGTTGACAGACGAATCCAAAGCCGACAGACCGACACACGGCAGAGTCAATAATTCAATTAAAAAAAAAGTTACAAACTTCCTCTGTAACTTGGGTTTCAATAATTATGGATTTTTATGAAAACTTGAAATAATAAAAAGAAAAAAAACTATTTCCTATAGCTAGTCGGAATGCAAACTTTTGACGTCCTGATGGCTCCAGGGCCTTCTTCCAACTCAGTTTCTTGTTTTTCTCTTCCTCCTCCTCCTCTTCCTCCTTTCTCTTCTCTTCCCCTGTGGGGAGGGATCACTCAGGAAAACAGGGAAGGAGATTCCAGCCCCACCCTCTGGCCCACTCTGTTAGGCACCCTTTGGAGCCATGGGTGGCAGCTCAGCTCCAGGGCGCAGCTCTAGATGGCTTTTTGCAGGAAGTGGGGGAGGGGACAGGACTGCCCAGTGCAGGTGGGGCTTGTCTGCTAGCTGCCAGGCAGCACTGCCAAGGGGAGGTGGGGGCCAGGCTCGGTGTGGCTGAGACTGGGATGGGCTGGGGTCCTCCTGGGGGAACAGCACAGTCAGCGGAAAGAGTCAGGAGCCAGAGGCAGGCCCGAGTCCTCTCCTCTGGTCCCAGCTCTGCTGCTCACCGTTGTGTGACTTCAAGCAGGTCACTGGCCCTCTCTGGGCCTCAGTTTCCACATCTGTACAAATGGGAACATTATCCCTGCCCTGCCTACCTCACAGGGCTGTTGTGAGGAATTGATGAGATGATGTATGTGAAACACTTTGTAATCTGTAAAGCGCTGTGCACATGTGTGTGGGTGACTGCTCTCATTATGGTCATTATTCTCTCACCGTGGGATGGGATCCCTCTGGGGTCAGGGCTGGGGAGAGGGAAGGGTAGCTCCTGGGGCTCCCAGAGGCTCCTCCTAGGACACTGGCTGGGCCGGAGAACATGGTGGATTCTCCTCCGTCTGGCTGGGAGGCCCCCTAGAGGCCAGCTCTGGCCTGGACATGGGACAGACATTGGCAGTGGAGCTCTCTCCAAGTCTTAGCTACGGTGTTTATTGAATATCTGCTGTATGCTACTTTCTGTGTAGAAGGCCATTCCGGGGCAACCTGGAGACAGCCCAAACTGAGCCTGCCACCCAGCTTTACCAGTCCTTCCTCTAGGCCATGCTCTGGGCCTATCCTGGCTTTGGCAGGGGTCTCTTGGATTGGACTCTCCGTGCGCTGACCGGAGAGTCAGACAGGTAGGCTCCACCTGAACCATACATTCAAACTAAATCTAAGTGCTCTGAATTCAGCCTTGGAGAGGGTTGCCCTGGACAACACAGTAGCAATTTGCTGGTTTGTTGTCACTTTCCTAGAAAGAATCCTTGGGCCCTGTCTGAAAAGCCAACAGCCGCTCTGTCAGCAGAACTCGTATTCACTGTGCCTCCTGTCTGTGGGCAGGGAGGGCATGGGCCAGGGATGCTTGGCCTCTCCACTCCGTTGGTGCTGCCTCCTTCATTTCACCTTCATTTCAGCCCCATGTGGGCCCAGGTGACCCGCCTCCCATTCATCCTCTGGCTAGGGGAAATCTACAGCAATACAGGGACCAGGGAGCAGAGACCAAGGAGAGAGCAATAGGGAATCAGGTCTCAGTATCTGCAAACCCACAGCACATCTGGTGGGTTCCCGCCTCCAAGCCAAGGCCTGGGAGTTAGCGGTATGTCTGGAGAGAGCCTGGAACCAGCACTCAGTCCTTTACCTGTCCATCCATCCATGCATCCATCCATCCATCCATCATTCATTCATTCATTCACTCATTCACTCATTCACTCGGGCTTCATTGCCGTGGCTCTGCTCCCAGCTTGGCTGATGTCTAAGTATAGTCAGCCTTGCCCCAACTTGTTCTCCTAACCACTGCCCAAGACTGCCCTGGTTCTGGACAAGGCTTGAGCCCTCTGGTAGCCTCTCACAGGACTCAGTGGTGATCACTGGAGCTAAGACAGGTGGTTAGAAGGTTCTGAGGTTCAAGTTCAGGTCTAAGATCAAGATTTAATTCTGTCACTTACCAGCTAAGCAGGATTATCCTCCAAGCCTCAGTCTCCCACCTGCAGAATAAGGTGTTTTTTGTTTTTTTTTTTTTGGGGGGGGGGTTGGTGGGAAGGTTGTTTGTTGGTTTTTAGTTTTGGTTTTGGTTTTGGTTTGAGTCAGGTCTCACTGTATAGCCCTCCCTGGCCTGGAACTCTCTCTCTGAGTCCTGGGTTAATGATGTCTGCCACCATGCCTAGTCTAGATCGTACTGCTTTTGCTGGTGAAAAGGTTCAGTGAGGAAGAGGTATGTTTGTTGATGGTACAGTGGCGGTAATGTTGATTGCTGTCAAGTCCCGCTTTGTGCACATTTGGAGGATGAGGACCAGGGATGGCAGTAACTTAGTTGAAGCTGGTCAGCTTCTGCATAGCAGGACCAGGGCCTGCTTCTCAGAGCCACAGCCTTCTCAGCCAGGCTCAGGGCTTCTGGGTCATGCAGTGTCAAAAGAACTCCGTGGGAAGCCAGAGAGGCTTGGGTATGTGGGCTCTTCAGCATGTGAGTGGTCTGTATCCAACAAGAGGCTAGCCATGCTGCTTTAGGCTTCGAGAATCCTGCAGGCAGCTGGGTGCGATGGCACACGCCTGTAATCCCAGCACTCAGGGAGGTAGAAGCAGGCAGATCTCTATGAACTGAAAACGAGCCTGGTCTACAAAGCAAGTCCAGGACAGCCAAGGCTACAAAGAGAAACGCTGTGTCGAAAAATAAAACAAACAAACAAAAAAGAAAACAAAAACATCTGCAAACCTGCCATCTCCTGAGAGAGACCAGAACCCAGGCTCTCTGCTACCCAGTCTGGAGGCTGGGTTAGTACACCCTCCTTCCTCCCCAAGAGGCTGAATACGGAATTGTCGTGATCTCTGGGATGCCTCAGCTTCTACTGAGAGTAACAGGGCCAAGGCATTAATTTACTCTTGGCTACTGGGATAGAAATGGTTTCCACAGAAACTAAGGGACATGAGAAAATTCTTAGGTTGTTGTCAGATTGGAAAAAGTCAGCTTGGGAGAGGAGGGCCCAGAGTCATAGAACAGGGCTGGTCATTTGGGAGCTAGAAGGCTGGAGGGTCTTGGCACAGCGTCTTTTTACTGTGAAAGTGTCAACTGTGGAAGAGGGCAGTGAACTACACTACTGCCATAAAAGCGGTGCATCTAGAAACGCCAGTCTGGAGTCTACGTCTTCATGCCCAGCAGCCTCTGGAGGGGACACATGAGCAGCAGAGATCCCCACCAAGGATGCACAGGCACTGGTCTGGAACCTGACCCCAGACAGAACCAGTCTTTCTGGCCCCCATGTCCTGCCACAATACTGAGGTCCTGATCTTCACTTACAAACCTTCTGGGATGCCTTGCCATCCCAAATGCAGCAGCTGGCTGCACCCAGCTAACCTTTCCACCTGGAACCAAGGGAAGAAGTTGTAAGAAGCTACTAGGGCAGAGAGGACAAGGTCTGGAATCCTAAGAGTCCGCCCATTTTCCAGGGTACAGAGCCAAAGCCACTTCCAGGAGTAGAGCATGACAGAGAGAAAGATGGTGTGATGAACCTTCACAGAGGAAATGGACTGAGACAAGCTGGTACCCAGGAGATGAGCACTAGATGGAGCAGCAAGCTCCCCTTTCTGTTAACCCCTGATATGTCAGATGAGGCTCAGAGAGGGAGCGTAACCCCCTAGAGTGACCCAGCAGAGGCAGGTGGATCACAGGCTTTAGGGTCAGGAGGACCCTGGTTTAAATAATCACCACTGAGACTCCTGTACAAAACGAGGTTCAGAATCTGATTTTCAGGGTTTCTGGGAATATTAAAGATCATGTTGTATGATTTGGGGTATACTGGTGATTGCTGTGATTAGATGACGGGCAAGCAGGGGAATGGTGGCTGAACACAGGAGCTGGAGTGTCAGAGACTTTGTAGGACCTGGTGAGGACCCAGAAGCATAGGGTGTCCAAATGGGGTCAGTGGGAAGCCAATACTGGTCACCCCTCCCCCTGGTTCCTGGAGGTCTAACTATGTGGGGAGATAAGCACAGACGTGGTCACCTGTCTTCCCTGCTAAGGATAGAACAGCCATACCAGGGCCCTAAAGGACGAGGCCACCCACGTGAGTATTGATGAAAAGAGGCCACAGACAACAAAAGAAAGAAGCAGAATAGACCTTTGGCTGATGTCAGGGTCCCTGAGGGAGGTTCTGTCATTAGCTGGTCAAGAGGCTTTGAGACTTTTAAGCCCCGAGTTCAAGGCCATCTCATGGAGAAAAACAAGAACAAACAGAAAAAAGGACAGCACCAACCTACCAGAGAGAGAGCATCCTCCTGAAGTAACAGTCCACACTGGACTGAAAGTCACTCCCGGCTCCATCTGTTCTTAGGAAATTCCAAGCTCTAGCCTCCTTCCTGGTGTGTGTATGAGTCCCTCATCCCTTCATTCAAAATCCCAAATTAAATGACTCCAACTGGTCACCTACCAGCCAATGCCCTGGCTGCCTCCAAGTAAGATGTTCCTCTCTTATCCAATCAGCTGTAGCTAAGGAGTTGCAGAGGCCAAATATAAGTAAAGCAGTCACGGAGTGGGGGAGGGGAGAGGACCAGACATAGAATTTTCTGTTTCTTCACAGCTACCCCCAAAACTTGGTGCTTTGGAAGCACAACCATTTACCTCCCCCCTTTCTGGAACTAGTACAGAGCTTAAGGGAGGACAGCAGCCTCTCTCTGTCCTGTGGGACGTCTGTCTACCAGGGAGGCTTGACTGGGGCTGAAAGACCCAAGGTAGTTTCTAACTGTGTCTGGTGCCTTATCGGGAGAGGCTGGAAAGGCTGGAAAGGCTGGGGATAACTGGCTTCTGTTTCCACACCGTCTGTCAGACCAGCATAACATTATATTGGAGGCTTACCTCCACCACAGTGTAACAGAAGCCACCAAGCATCCTGAGGCCTAGGCCAGAATGTTCCCCATGAGCATCTGGGCTCCTTCTGTTGTCTAGGCACGTCACAGGCTCCTCAGCTTCAAGGGGAGGGGAAAGTCTAGCGCTTGGCAGGAGGATCTGCACACTCAAGCTAGAGGAGACACAAAGGGCCACAGACTCCTGGAAGCCACCCCCTGGAGCAGCAGTTCTCAACTTTCCTAATGCTGCGGCCCTTTAATACAGTCCCTCCCATTGTGATGACTCCCCAACCATAAAATTATTTTTTTGCTCCTTCATAACTGTAATTTTGCTACTGTTATGAATTGTAAAGTAAATATATTTGGAGAAAGGGGTTTACTAAAGGGGTCGCAACTCACAGGTTGAGAACCACTTCTCCATGGCTCCATCTATAGTCCCTTTGTTTTTGGCAGATGTGTCCATTGGTGTATCTGAGACAGACTGGCTTTTCTGTCCCCTGGTACAGTGTCCGTTCTGTGGCGAGCTGCAGCAGAGGCAATGGCAGTAATTCTACAGTTTACAGTTCAGCAGGACTTGTGCTAGGAACTAGGCTACCAGCCATCCCTGCATCCTCTTTAGTACCACTCTGAAAGAAGTTCTAACGTTTTTCCTTTCAGAGGCCAACCTGGAGGGCCAGGAGGCAGAAAGGATGCCTAGGCCAATCTCCAGGTAGGTTTGAAAGCCAGGGCTCATTCTGAACCCCTCCCCACTCAGGCTTCCCGCCCACCGAGGGGACACAGCTGTGGTACCTCCTGCAGTCTCGCTTCCGTGGATGAACGAGGTGCTGGCGGCAAGCATGCTACAGTGAGGGTAGAACACAGGGGGCATGTGAACACCGTGGTCACCATCTGTGCCAGTCAATTCTC